AATAAAAATTTCCGGAGTTTTTTTATTTTAAAAAATTCTATATTAAAAATTCTTAAAAACCTTTGAAGATTTTTGAAGATTTTTCTGAAAATTTTCAAAAATTTTTTTTGGATAGAGATCTCTAAAGATCTTCACCAAAAAAATTTCCTGATGTAGTTATATTTACTTACTTAAAGTTTTTTGATTGAACATAAAAAAAATAGGAAATTGAAAAAAAATTGAAAAGAAAATAAACTGAAGCTACAATAACATTGACTACTAAAATTAAAACTAAGTCACTTGAACTATAAGATCTATATAAACAAAAAGAATATTTAAAAGGTGATCAATTGTCTGACCCTTGTACTAGTACTGATCTTAGAGATATGACCCTTGTTGATATAGATAATACAATATAATTGATGTTGTTTGTTGTTATGGTAATTGTTATTATTGTTATTGTATTGAAAAACCAGTTTGAATAGGTTTAGTTTTTTCTTTGTTGTTTTAATAAAATCTGATTGGATGATTGGAGAGCGATGATTATCTGGAGGGGGTAAACTGATTTCAGTTTTTTGAAAATTTTGAAATGGTACAGTAAATAGTGCCATAGTAAAGTTATATGTAAAGGTTATATTAAAACAAACAATAGATCTAATAATTTTATTTAAGTATGTTTTTGGAAAAGTGCTTAATTTGATGAGTGTAATGATATTGATGTAAATGGTTTTTGTAATATAATAAAAGAAAAAAGAAATGTAAGAGAACAAAAGAAAAGAGAATTGCTATAAACCTTTCTTTATATAACCGAAGAATAAGCAAGATTTCAAAACTTGAGTAGACTTTGATCAGAGATTCCATCCTATTGCACCAGTTGTCTTGAAGGTTCTTGAGTTCTTGAGTTTAGGCTCACTTGTGATAAAAAGTATAAAACATTTTTCTTGCTTAAAATTACTATAAAAGAAATTTTTTAACAAAACGGATGTGATCAAGAGAGAGTTTTTTTAAGTAATCTTATTCTTTAAGTTTTAAAAAATATATTTATATTAAATTTTTATATTATTTAAATAATTTTTTATAAAGTTATAATAAAAATATCAAAGATGGTTTTTTTGTCCCAGACTATATATATATATTATTATATAAAAATAAAGAATTGAAGTTTATTTACAAAATTATTTTTTATTAATATATAATTTTTTTAAAAAATTCTGATGACCTATTACTAGAATCAAATTATCAAGTAATCAATGAGATTGTATAAATTTTTATTTATAAAGTTTTAAATCATATTTGAAAATTACTGTCTTCAAACATTGAGGCCTTAGGCATCATAATATAAAAAATGCATTTGCTAATTACATCTGGTTACAAAACTCCAAAATATCACGTGAATAACTATACAGTGGATATTAAGTGGGACGCGTATTTGCTTAGATTTTTCACTTTAATATACATATTTACGAATAGTATAGCAATTTATTACATTCAGTGAGGCATAATATATGCAAAAACGCGTTCTCAATGAAAATTTGCTTTATTAAAATGGGATCTGCTTTTGTGCGATTAAATCAAATCTCAATCTCCTCCCCAGCTATAAAACATCTAACAATTCTAAGATCTTCATTTAGAAAGACTAAGTCAGCATCTGCACCTGCGTGAAGTGTACCTTTGATATGCTGAATGCCCAGAAGCTCAGCTGGATGTAAGGTTGCTGCCTCTATAGCTTCAATAATCGAACAACCCGTAAATTTCTTGAAATTTCTAACACAAGAATCCATGGTAATAACGGATCCTGCAAGCCGCCCAGTCTTTATGACTTCGACTTTATCGTCCGCTGTTTTGCGAACGGGAATTCCGCCAAAAGTATAATCACCTGGAGGTAAACCCATAGCAGCCATAGCATCGGTAACAAGAATGGCCCCACTAGGATGGGAATCATATGCAATCTTAATGGAATTGGGGTGAGCGTGGATGCCATCACATATAATTCCATAATATGGTCTGGGTATGCGAGTAGTACCTAACATACCAATAATCCCTGGATCTCGATGGTGAAACTGAAAAAAAAAATTTTTCTTTTTAAAGATCTTGCAAAACAAAAATTGTTTTTTTTTTTTTAGTACCTGTTGCATTGCATTAAATAAATGCGTAATTGATTTGGCCTATGAATAATTAAGATAAAAAAGTTATTACAGTGATCAAATACTGAACAAGGCAACTTGGATTTGATATTTACCCCCTTTTCAACTGCTTCTTCAGCCTGCGCGACGGTGGCGGACGAGTGTCCTATTAAAAATCGATTAATCAAATACTCAGGTTGATTTCATGCGATCAAAGAAAATACACGTCAAACACCTATGCTAACGGTCACTCCAATCCGAATTAAATCCTTCAGACTATCCAAAACACCTTCGACTTCGGGTGCTACAGTTATTAATCTTATATTGTGATCATTGCCTTCACGTAATCCATAAGTTTCAACAAAATCGGAGAAACCATTCGGTGCAGTCCGAACATGTGATACTTCGTGTGCACCATGTTGGCTTGATTGTATAAAGGGACCTTCGAGATGTACTCCTATAATTTATAAAGACCACATAAATACCCTATATAAAACGTGAATTCTGAAGCAGAATGGTTATTTAGACCTAGAACTTCTGCCCCATTAGTTTTATTTCCTTTGCGAGTTTTGAGGACCGGAAGAACCTAATTTATTTAATAAATTTTTTAAAGTGATCTCTTTTATCTGAATAGCCTGATCAGATTCAGTTGTTTCATACTTTTTGATATATTTCCGACTTCGAACTAATTATGGTAGGAACAAAACTCGTACACCCATATTTCAACAATCCCTTTGCTACATTATCCACATTACATCTCATATTTTCCTCTCCTTGCCAATCCGAAAAGTCTGAACCAAATGCGCCGTTGATTTGCACGTCAATAAAACCGGGTGAGATCAACAATCCTTTAGCATCTATTATTTCATCAGGAACATCTCCATTAGCCGAGAAAAAATAATTTTGTGAGTCGAGGATTTTTCCATCGTATATATAAAGTACGTCGTCTTCCACAATTTTGTGATCACGAATTAAACGACCATTTATGATTTTTATAAGACGCGAAGTGTTCTCATGTCTTTCGTCGTGCATAGAGTTAAAAGATATTGGAAAAGGCATCTTTGATCGGCTTACGAGAATTTTGTAAGAAAGTAAGAAAACGATTAGTGAGGTCTTTTTTCTAAACTTGATAAAACTGGCTCTATGGGTTAAGAAGGCGTGTATATCCAGTTTCTATTCGTATATACTGTATACTACGTATCGTCGATCTAGTGACATATTTGTGACGCGTTTTTTCGTAATTATTCCAATGTATATTATGATGCATATGACCTAATTAGTAAAGTAATAATTTTTTACAGTATACATAACTCGATTGCAACATGTATAGTTTTACAATACTTAATTGATAAACATTAATTCTTTATTAAAATTTTTATTTATGATTAAAAAAAATGATTTATAAATACAATAGAATAAGAAATCTTTAATCAAAGTTTATTCAAGTTTAAAAATCTTGTTTATTCTTCAGTTATATAAAAAAAGATCTACAACAATATATTTTTGTTTTCTTGTAATCCATATTTTATTATTATTATTAATTTTTTTTTTAAGGAACAAATGACTATTACATATTAATTACTATATTATTGATCTACAGGTTAAAATTTAATATTATCTTAATATTAAAATAATATTATTAGAAACTCTAATTTTTATTTATATTTTTATAATTATATATTATCAAAACCAATAATATAATTAATTTTTAAAAGAATTAAATAGTTTTAATTAAAAAATAATAAGAAAATAATAAATAAAATTGAAATTACAAATAAATAAGAAAAAATTATTATTATTATTTTATTATAATTGGTTTTGTTTTTTTGTTTTTTTTAAAAACAAGTTAATTAATACAATATTCAAATTATATTTCAATTTGATGACAAATTAAAGTAATTATATTTATTTTGAAAAAGATTTTAAAACTGTTTAATAATTAAATAAAGTAATAATTTCAAACAAATATAATTTGAAAAAAAAATTAGCAAAAAAAAACCAATATATTTTTTTATTAGAAATCTTTAAACATAAAATCTTAAGAAATATTTTTGAATATTACTTATTTCAATATAAATTAAACAGTTTAACTGGTTATGTAATAAAAAGTAAACATATTAGCAATTATAAAAAACATTAAATTTTATTCAAATTAAGAATAACTTTTTAAATAATAAATAGAATAAATAATAACTTTTTATTACTTATTTTTTTTTATAATTTCTATAAAAAAAAAGTAACAATATGGATTTTTCTACAAGTTTTAATCCCATTGAAAGATTTAGAATCTTAATTTTTTTGATTATATAACAAATTTACTATATGATTTAAGAAAATTTAATATATTATTGAAATAACCTGGATTGTGACTTCTAGATTGTAATAAAGGTACAGAAATCACGACCATCTTTTCACAAGTGCAGTCATTAAAATCGTTAAATTGAAAATAACTAATCCTTCAATCATGTTATTTTAGATTTTTAATTTTGAGTAAAAAAATGCGTACAATATTTTAACTCCGTATAATAATAACAAGATATCTAGGATTTAGACGAACTACCAACTTCACTATTTCTTTCAGTTCCACTATCAAACTCCTCTTTTTCAACGTCCACCCAATTTTGTTCAATTGATGCCTCGTCATTACTTTCATCCCACTCACCATCTAAAGTGCTTAGGTAGTTTTTACATCGTTCAATCATTAGTTTTCCATGTTGCATGAGAAAAGGACTCGTTTCCTTCATTAATGCCTTCATGAATTGCGTATTGGCTATAAATATACCTAGACCAGCCACAATAAATATGTAACTCCAAGGAATAATCCACACTGTCAAACAGAGTATCGTCATTAATACGATAACCCCTTGCGTTATTACTAATGTTTCATATTCGTTACTCCAATCTACATGTTTGAGTAATGGCACAACCGCATCATATCCTTCTGAAATCAAGCCCATCAGATTCTGAATGTTTTGCATGTTTTTTAGATAATCTACAGAATTCTCGGGTGGTAGGTACGGATCATGATGCTTTGATTTATGAAATCTCCTACGTCCGTGTTGTCCCCTTTTCATCGTTTGTAATCCATTTGGGTATTTTTTCTCATAGTAATAAATCAGAACTGCGAGTAAGCCGACTGGTGGAATGAGAAATAAAAGTTTTGGGTATAGACCTGCAATACAATTTATCAAACGTAATAAACAGATGTTTTAAGTCTACACATTAAACACTAAATACATGACAAGTATAAAAACTTACATATGTAAACATAAATCACCATGGTTAATAAAGTATTTGAAGGATTTTTCCACATCACTATATCCTCAACAGCGCCCTGAATAGCAAAGATAAATCCACACTTTTGCACAAATTTTCCAAAATTAGCACCAATTAATTGCAAATTTAAAGGTGGATGTGCGGAGTCAGAAGGAATTTTAGATGCATTTGCTACGTTGAGTGCCGAAGATACGAGAAAATCTTGAATTATCTTTGTTCCAGATGATGGCTTAATTGGAGGGATTGGTTTCGCGGCTCTTGGTGCAATTTCCGCAGCATCAGACGGCTCTTGAATATTTGCTAATGTCGCGTATGATTTTAGTGGTCTTGGTGTAAGAGAATCAAATGAATTTGAACGTCGTAAAATATTCGGCGAAAATTCGTTCTGATCATCGTAGTCAGATATCCCGTCGTGATCATTTTGACGGTCATTTGGGTTCGATCTTATTAAGTCAAATGATACAGTACGTGCGGGTAGAGATCCTGTAGTCATCGTGACAGAATTATTCGAGGATCGCGGTCTTATAATAGGCAAAGGCGATGATTGACCAAACTCAGATGTTTCAGGGCCGGAATTCTGATTGTGATCTAAATGATTTAATTGTAACACTTAACTTCACTCCCACTAAAAAGAAAGTATATGAGGTATATTATAATTAAAATCGGGTGAATTATCCGACGCACCACAATACGAGTTTACTAAGTCTTTGCATTTGTAATGAGCGACATAACCACAAGCTAAAATAAATTAAAATAAATTATTATATGAAGGAAGAAATAAAAATTAAAAATTTGATCGAGTAAACATGAAATTTGGGAACTAGAACTGATCTTTTTTACCTTGGCAGAGAACTCCCTGTCTGGTTAAACCCCAAAGCATCCCATTACAGTAATAACAGTATGTAACTTTTGTAAAAGTTTTTTCTTTAAAGTGGTGAGTTGGTAATAATGGAGGCATCAATGAGAGAATGATAATCTGCAAGTGTCATGTAAATTACACACTTAACTATCAATTACTTGATCGACGGTTTATTGTGCACAATCACACGTTTTTCACATCCTACCGGTTTTTTCTAGTTTTAGTCAAAAGTTTATATAATAACAAGGGTTAAATTGCATTGCGTTGAGTTGGCACGGGACATGCAAGATTGATAAGATATCTGATTTTTGTAAAGCATTTATTGTATATTATATTTAATCTTTTTGTATTCTTCCAGGGCCGTCTAGAAGATTTTAGATAATAAATCGAAACTTAAGATTCGCAGATTTCTCCATGATGTAGCACAGCTCATGGAGACATATACTTGATCCGTGAACATGGTTTCATCGATACTTGTTGTTATATGGGGAAGTATTGTTAAGTCTTATACTTTGTATATAGTTAGTGCAAATGTATTTTGGAGTGGAAATTGTTGTCTTGAGGTTCTTTTTCTGTTGATCTCAAAGTAGGCGGTCTTTTTTTGAACAATAATCTTGTTTATGCTTGTAAAAATTAAAAAAGTGATCTTAACACTTATATTATTAATAATATTTATTACTATATAAATTATTTCATTACAAATATTATTATCAAATAATTTGTTGTTTAAGAGCATTACATAGGCATTATTTTGCAGATATACAAATTTGAGCAGATTGTTTAATAATATTTAAATTTAATAATTAAGATAATTGAATTATTTTATATATTGTTAAAAGGTAAATGGTTATATAGTATTTTATTGATAATATTGATTATTTAATAAAGATAACAATATGTATTGTATTGTATAATTCTTGAAAATTGTTATTTATATTAATTTTGATTTTATTATATTTATATTTTTCATTAGGAAATTTTTTGGATAAAGGTTTTTAAAGATCTTCAAATGTAAATCTCTGAAGAATCTCTATTATCATTAAAAGACTCTGGAGCAAAAATTTATATATTAATATCTGAAAATCTTCAATATATATACAGTATATCTATATATATTTTAAAGGAACAGGTGGTTCCTATATATATTCCCCTATCATAAATCACTGAAATTTTCTAAATTTATGCATGATCAACGATCACGATACTTAACTAAAATATTTTTTTTGTGACCAATTACTAACAATAAAGTCACGAAAATTTTTTTACAATTTTATTAGATCAAAATCTTTTACGCTGTATTTTTTTTTTTTTTTGAAGAAGCAAATAGCTATCACGCTATCGTTTATTATTATAATTTTAAACTTGCGGATTATAAAATTTACAACATGAGAAGCATGACATATATCTCTCTTTGCTAGAAAAAGTTAAATGCAGAACCTATAAAGGTCACCTCTAAGCTCCTTGGCACCATTCAAGAAATATAATAAAAAAGAATATTTAAAACCTATATTATGGTCTTAAATGGTATCTAGCTACCTAGAAATTAATTTGAATGCCTAATCATATAAAGGCACTACAGTCACTTTATACAGGTTTGCTTTCAAGTCATAAGTAGGATTGGCATATTTGCTTTCAAATATGGCTTGATGTTCAGCAGGTGGAGTAATGTCAGGAAATTTTTTGTTTGTGATTACCTTTTCACATGAAGACGCTACAGCCACTTTATACGGGTTTGCCTCCAAGTCATAAAAAGGATTTGATACACCCATTTCTCAAGTGTGGCAGAGTGTTCCATGGGTGGAGTTTGATTTTGGATTTCTTAAAGGTACTGATACCTGACCTTGTACAATGAAACCTATATTGTCGGAGGAGTAGGCAAAGAACTTTCATTGTCATCACCAGCTCGTGTTGCAGGAGTAACTAGAATTCCTGGTCTTCACGTATTATCCTACTAGGTTCTCCAATCACCAACATGACACCTGCAGACTAACCTAGCTTATTGTTAGTTGCATTGGCATTGACTGCCATATCTTTCTGGATACTGTAAAATGCAACTCCTTGGATACTTTCGGATAATAATAGTTGTACACTGGTTTTTTAGATATATCTAGTCTAACCATCAATAAGTAAACAACACCGAATTAGATAATAATGGCCATGTTGATCTTTTGGAGGGGGTAAACCGTCTGTCCTTTTTCTGAAAAACCATGGAGGGAAAACTTTCTATAGCCCATGTCCTGTAGAAATCTTGCCACTTCTTATATGGTTCCTGAGAGAAAAGGGTTCACTGGCCAGAAGAGTAATGTTATGGAGATAGAGTTTTCAAAAGAAAGAGAGGCCTAGGGAGAAAAACCTTCAGGGAAAAGGGAAAAACCTAGCTTCGGCAGAAAAAAAAAAAAATGGAAGGGAGGGGTAAAAGTAAAAAAAAAGAATATATAGAAGAAAGAGGAAAAAATAGGAAAAGGAAAATAAAGAGATATGGGAAAAAGACATAAAGAGAAGGAAAAAAAGAAGATGAAGAAAAAGTAAACAACTCAAAAATTTCCTAAAAAGGAAATTTTCAAGTGTAAAAAGGGGGAGTGGAAAAGAGTTTTTTGTTGTATTTTTTTTTTCACATATTTTTTTTTTTTATAAAAATTATAAAACGCAAACAACTTGACGAAAAACAGCATGCCGAAATAATTGGTGTTTGGCGGTGTGGCCAGAAACCAGCTGCAATAATAAGAATTTTAAGATTATTAAAGTGTAATATCTATGATATAGTTAATTATTATAAAAAGAATGAAGAAACAATACCTTTCTCTTGGCCTGAGCAACCTTCCAAAATAACTGAACATGGAACATGTCACTTGGTTCGCCTTTTAAAACAAGACAGAAAGTCAACATTAAATATATTAACAAACAAATTCATCGAATCAACATTTATCGACGTATTCACAAGTACCGTATGACATTACCTTCATGAAGAAGAGTTTTTTGATCAGGTTGATGTAAGAAAACCATTCATAAATGAAAGCAATCATGTGATCCGTATGCAATGGGTGCAAGAAAAAAAAGCTTGAAATAAAAGATGAAATAAGGTGATTTGAAGTGATGAATCACGGTTTGAGATGTTTGCAGGGGATGGTCGGGTATATGTCTGGAGACAACCCAAGGAAAAATATGATATTGACTGTTTGACTCCTACATTTAGATTGGAAAGAAAGGGTGTAATAGTTTGGGAATGCTTTAATTATTATGACCTTGGATCCTTAGTTTGAGTTAATAGAAAAATGAATGCAAAGAATTATGTAGAAATTCTTCAAAATTGTTATTTACCTTTTTTAAGTAATTTAGAAAATATTGTTGGGCAAAAAAATTATAGATTCCAAGATAACAATACTAAAATTCACACTGCAACTTTACTTTATATTAATTTGAAGAAAATAATATTGATCAGCTTTCTTGGCCTTTGTACAGTCCTGATCTCAATCCCATTGAACATTTATGGGATGAATTGGAGCGTTGTATTTGTAAGCATATTCTTTTATCAACAAGTAAGTCAGAGCTATTCAATTTATTGCAGAAAAAATGGTTTAAAATAGATGGTTTGATTATTGAAAATCTTATTGAAAGTATATTCCAACATATTCTTACAGTAATTGATGCTAAAAGATATTCCATTCGATATTAATCCTTGTAAATAGTTTTTTATCTATATAACAAATAAATAAAAAATTTTTGACTTAAGTTATTAAATAGGTTGTTGAGATTCTGTAGTTAAAAATATGTATAAAAAAAAGATCATTGTATGCTTACTAATAAATTCCAGTAATTTATAATAGGGAAATGTACTATTTTTATTATAAATTTTAGACTTGTGAGTATAAGATTTACAATCTTATGGCACAGTATACATTTCTCTTTGTTAGGAAGAGTTTAATGCAAGGCTCAATTGCAGCCCATCTGCCTGAGATCCTTAGCATTACTCAAAAATATAGAAAAAGGAAATTCAAAACCTATATTAAGCCTTAAATGGTATCTAGCTACCCAGAGAATTTATTTACCTAATTACATGAAGGCATTGTAGCCACTATATACAGGTTGGCCTCCAAGTTATAACTAGGATTGGCACACTTGTTTTCCAACTATAGTTTAATGTATAACAAGTAGGGCAAGAGTTGGTTCCAAGCTATACTAACACCAAATATATCAAAATAAAACAGATCTTTCACCATTTGCACCTAATATTGATCCTCTATTCAAACCCATCACTAGGACTAAAGGCTGGAGGGTGGCAATTGTCTTTAATATCAATGCAGCCCCTTGGCAATATTAATTTTTCACCATTTTTACCTAGTATTAACCTTCCATTTTAAAACCCATCATTAAGACTGTAAGCTAAGAAGCAGCAATTAATCTCACTGTTAGAGTAGCTTTAAAGAATATATTTTGGTTTTAGGATAAAATGGAACTGGAGAGTATAGAGAATAGATTTGGACATAAGGTAGTGGTTTGTTAAGAAAGGTATCAGATGTGTAGTAAAGTTGAATTTTTTTAAAAGTATTAATACCTAACATTATACAACGAGCCTATATTGTTAGAGGAGTAAGCAAAAAACTTTTATTGTCGTTACCAGTTCTTGTTGCGAGGGTAACTAAAATCCCTGATCTTTACGTATTATTCTACTAAATTCTCTAATCACCAGTATGACACCTGCAAACTAACCTATCTTATTGTTAGCTGCATTGGCATTGGTTGCCATATCTTTTTGGATACAGTGGAGTACAATTTCTTGAATACTTTCAGATAATAATAGTTGTATACCGGTTTCTTAGATATATCTAGTCTAACCATCAACAAATAAACAATACTGGATTTGGTAATAATAACTATATCAATCTTTTGGAGGGAGTAAACTATCTATCCTTTTTCTGTAAGGCTATAGAAGAGAAAAAAATTCTAAAGCCCATGTCTTGAAAGAAGTTACTACTTCTGGGTATGGTCTTGAGAAAAGGGAGCCGACTGGCCAGAGGAGTGATGTTATAAAGAGCAGAGTTTATAAAGGAGAGAGAAGCCTAAAAAGAAAACCTTCAGGAAGAAGAGAAAACCTAACTTTGGCAAGAAAAAGGAAAAGAGGAGAGTAAGGATGGAGTAAATAAGAAAGTATATAGAAGAAAGATGAGAGAATAGAAAAAGAGGAATAAAGAGATATGAGGAAAGTGAAATGAAAAGAGAGAAAAAGGAAAAACAAAAAAGTGTAAACAACTCAAAAGTTTCTTAAAAAGGAAATTTTCAAGCATAGAAGAAGGAGTGGAAAAGAGTTTTTTTTTTTTTTTTTAATCTTCAATATATTTTAATAATAATAAAATATATTTATATTTATATATTATAATTAATTTAAAATATTTAATTGACTTATAAGATCTGTGAATCTATAATATAGTGATTAGTACTCCACAGATTAAATTACAAGATATCAGTTCAATCCCAGATAAAGATGATTAAATAGAACCTATATAATATCTAATACTATAATTGATAATATACTATTTCTTATAAGAAATTATTTTATATATTGATTTAGCAGATATTGAGATTGTGATCTTCAGAAAAGATATTATAATATGATAATCATTCAGTTGGAGCATAATAATTACCAGAAATTATTTTATAATAATTGAACTTAATTATCAAAATAAGAAGATTTTGAAAATAGTACAAAAAGTTATAATCATATATATCTTTGATATGGTTATCATACGATAAGACAAAATATACAGAAGTTGTGTCCTACTTAATATTCATACTTCTAGATTTAACAGCTTATACTAACCAATTCAAATGAAGTATCTACTAAAAGTTTAAAAAAAAATTCCTTAAGAAATTATGTCTTACTTGACTAAAATGACTTCTAAATTTAATAGTTAATATCAATTAACAGCAAAATTAAAACATTTACTAGAAAGTACATATTTGTATTGAAAGTTTCAGCTACTATATGTGCTGCTATATAATAGTGGAGGTAACAATGTGATGGATATTTATTTAGGTAGTTATAAGACTATCTTATAGTAGTAAAAGTTGAAATATGAATTTATCTTTGCAATGTAAGTTAATAGTCTAATAAAAAAGACAAGTAGCTTGAATAAATACTAGCAATAGCTAATAGACTTTTTATATATAAAATAATTATGATTATTATTAATTAATCAATAAAATCTAAAAAAACAAAACTCTTTCCCACTCCCTCTTCTGCGCTTGAAAATTTCCTTTTTAGGAAATTTTTGAGTTGTTTATTTTTTTTCTTCCCCTTCCCCTCTCTTTTACTTTCCCTTTCCCATATCCTTTTATTTCCCCCTTCCTATTTCTTATATCTCTCTTCTATAAACTTCTTTATATAAAGCTTACCCCTTTCCTTTCGTTTTCCTTTTCCCTGCCAAAGTTAGGTTTTTCCTTCTTCCTGAAGGTTTTCTTTCTAGGCCTCTCTTTCTTTTATAAAAACTTGCTCTCCATAACATCAATCCCCTGGCCAGTCGGCTCCCTTTTCTCAAGACCATATACAGAAGTAGTAACTTCTCTTAAGATGTGGGCTTCAGAATTTTCTCTCTTCCATGGCCTCACAGAAAAAGAACAGATGGTTTACCCCCTTCAAAAGATCAACATGGTCATCATTACCAAATCCAGTGTTGTTTACTTGTTGATGGCTAAACTAGATACATCTAAGAAACTGATGTACAACTATTATTATCCAAAAGTATCCAAGGAATTGCACTCCACTGTATCCAGAAAGATATGGCAGCCAATGCCAATGCAGCTAACAATAAGCTAGATTAGTTGCAAGTGTTATGCTGATAATTGAATAACCTAGTAGAATAATATGTGAAGATCAGGAATTCTAGTTACTTCCGCAACACAAGCTGGTGACGACAACGAAAGTTTCTTGCTTACCCCTCCAACAATGTAGGTTCATTGTACAAGGTTAGGTAACAACATCTATAAGAAACTCCAAATCTATTACGTCCGACAACTTCTTTCAACAACTACTACTACACATTCAAACACTTTTTCTTTATCCTCCCCCGCCTCATACCGGTGCTGGATTCTACTCAAATACTTAAATGGTGCAGCTATATGTACAAAGCTTCTTATGAAGAATGGCTGTCCCCTTCCCTACTTGCCGCAGATGTAGGCAACTGCCACAGGCCTGGTCAACCTGTAATCTGCCGCAATCCTAGAAAGGTAGAGAAGGTCAAATACTAGGTGGTCGGATAAAAGGCTAATCTCCACGAGATATCTGCATCAGTGTAGCAGCCATTTAATTAGTTGAGCAGTTATCTAGAGGAAGTATAAGGTAAAACACATTTCAGCTTGCCGTACATCAAGCCACATTTGGAAAGCAAGCTTGTCAATCCTAGTTATGACTTGGAGGCCAACCTGTATATAGTGGCTGCAGTGCCTTCATGTGGTTAGGTATTCAAATTTTCTAGGTAGCTAGATGCCATCCAAGGCATAATATAGGTTTTGAACTTCTTTTTTCTATATTCTTGGGTGATGCTAAGGAGCACAGAGGATGGATCGTATTTGCAGAGCCTGGCATTTAACTCTTCCTAGCAAAGAAAGATGTATATTATACTGTAACTGTGTTATAAATCTTGTACTGCAAGTCTAAAATTATAATAATAAAATAAAG